TTATATATTTTGTGTGGGAAGTTAAACAAGCATTTAAAACCCAATCCTCATTAGTGATTTGGACGAAAAAACAATTACTTGTTTTTACTTTTTTTCATTGGGATGGCTACCTTTTCCTGTGGACCAACTAATATTTGTCAGCTATTTTTCAGTCTTTCTACTTGTCTAATAACATGTATGTCTAGTTTCTAATGTATCACTGGTATGTTGTGCTTGATTTTCTGCTAATATATAAATATGAAATTTGGAAGCTGTTGTTCCACATTTAAAGCCAAACTTTCTGGGAAGTTATACGACAGAGTTGAATTAAGATGTCTTATCTCCTATAGCAGAGCTGCATATGTGTTGCTTACCATATATTGTTGGATTGAAACTTATATAAACTCAACCCATACATAGTCAATGGATGATGGGAATTAAACAGTGTCTGGAGGGTCATATCCCAATCTACATTATAGGATTAATTTTGAGAAGTAGGCACTTATTAGCTGTGAATGAATACTGCTTTGTTTAGTAGTTTTGTATGAGTCCACTGTAGAAGAAAGGTTTTTAAACCTAATTTTTGAAGTCCTTTTTTCCTGCAGCATTGGCCATTTAAAATTACACTGATTAGCAGCAAATAAGGATAGAGAATGTTGCTTTGTGCAAGTGTGTTGCTAATAATATGGGCTGTTTTAAAACTTGGAGCATGGAAAATCACTGTTTACAGTTAGCTGGTAATATTTAACTTACAGCAAAGTCAGTACTTTAAAGTCAACTAGTGTTAATATTTTTATTATCTTGATTTAAATGTTCTTTGAAATCCATTTGGACTTCCTATCTTCACTGCCTTTGGAACCTTTTTAGATCTATGAAGGCAGTTTGAAAACAGCTGACTCTCAACCACATAGCCTTTAGGTTGGTGAGAGATGGAAAACCAAAAGTAACTAGGAATGGAATATTATTATTTTTAAAAAAGGCACAGCAGTTTGACTAACTGTACAGGAGTACTCCACACTACAGCTATCACAGCTGCCATTTCAAGAGCATGAGTATGTCTCTCATAGTGCAGACAGCTGAGAAAATCTGAGTACTGCCATGTAGGACATTTATTGGTAGGCCAGTTAATTGGGAAGGTAAGGTGAAAAGATGTCCGGTTTGTCTAGTGTATCTAGAAGGTAGTGTCCTATGTTCAAGTGAATTTAAAAAAAAATGAAAGCCTGCCCAATAGACTACTCACTTATTTGAACATTAAGGGATGCAGTCTAAACTTCATTGCCACTCTTGGTTTTTGGATAATGTGTTTGTGTTAAATGAAACATACTCTTTCATTTTTTAATTCACTTGAACCTAGGACATTACCTTCTAGGTACATAGTTTCTGGCTGACGACACATCTTGGTTAACATACGTTGGATTTTAGTGGATCTCTGAATAAATCTAGATCAACCTCAAACCGGACATCTATTCAGAGTGCTTTGATTGTGTGTTCCTGCATGGCAGGGGTTTGGACTGGATGGCTCCTGTGATCTCTTCCAACTCCATGAACATCCATGATTCCTAACTCAGGGATAAGTCCAGAGGTCACAAGTGGCTGCCACAGCTCTTCCACACACACACCTAATTGGGAGGGATTTTTTTTGTTCTCAAATCGCCAACAGCACCACCAACCTTCTGGAAGAAGGGTTGCTATTAATGGTTTTACTACATTTTCAAGTGTCCTCCCTTCATCTGTTTAAAGGCCATTTTTCAACGGAAAGTCAGTTTGACCATACTGATGCATTATTTTTAATCCCTTCCAAATTTGGGTCATGGGGCCCTCTGGGTTTATGCTCGAGAGATCCTTTTGACCATTTTAAGGCAATTTTGTGACCCACATATTTTTTTGATGGAGTGCAGGGTTTTGCAATGGGTTAGGACCACCCTATAGTGTCCAAAGCAGGGGTAGGCAACCTTTCCCCTTTAAGGGCCGAGGGACTTCAGCTCCCAAAATCCCAGGAGCTATTGGCTAACATGGGACTATTAGCCAACATGGCTGAGGCTTCTGGGAGCTGAAGTCCCTCAGCCCTTAAAGGGGAAAGGTTGCCTACCCCTGATCCAAAGTGTGGGAAACAATCCTGGCAGTTGCCTATTCCTGTTCTAACTATCAGTGATTTGGACTGATAGAATTTATGGTTCAAAGCATCTGAAGATCACTGGAATAAAGAAGACTGGACCTGTCTGTACTGTGCATACTATGGGAACATCCTTTTTATTGGGCGTGACTGATTATGGGCAAAGTGAAGCCCACTTTGTTGGGCTTTGTTGAGTTGTTGGACTGCAACTTCCAGCACTTTGTTGAGTTGTTGGACTGCAACTCCCAGCACTCTTCACCATCAGCTATCTACTAGGGTGGATTGGAGTCGCCACCCAGCAACATCTGGAGGACCACATTTTAGCCACCCCTGCATTAGATGGTGATAGGGAAACCAGGAGAAGGGGCATTCTTGGGGAAAAAGAATCTTAATTTAGATCCCAGATAGCCAATACCAGTTAGTAAACTTAGTATTTTGCTAATGGATCCACTGGTCTGACTCAGTATAGCACAGTTTTCTTTATTCCTGAAACTGGGATAATGAGAAACAGTGTCCACTAAACTACAGGGTAGTAAAGAAGCTTTTTTTGTGTTCTGGTTTCAGAGCTAACAATCTGATGTCTACTGGTTTATTTTGACTACTATAGTACTTGATATTGTGTATCTTCTGGACTGCTATAGAAAAGTAACAAGTATCATCTTGGTAGCTCTTTATTTCTGGAAAGGTGTGAAGCTGTGCTGAAGTATGATCGTGACAATCCCTTAGAATCCTGATAAACATAGTATCCATCGCACCAGTTGTCTAATTGAAGAGGCAGTTTGCTAAACGCCTTCAGTTGTGAGTTCCCTCCATCTTAATGTCTTCCTTGTGTTGGCAGCTGATTAAATATGGCACGATTGCTGTTGAACTGGCTTGTAAATCTGGAGCAAGATGATCTTGCAGTTGCCTGTGGATTTGCAAAGGCGAAACACTTTTTTTGGGAGTTGCACACCATTCTTTAAACAGAAATGATCAAGCAGGACACCTCTTTCTAATCATAGTGTGAGAGAAGATGGGGTGCTTTTACTCTGGAAGCAACCCTGTTTGCATAGTTGTAAAGGGTAGGAGCTTTGATCTGGGTCCTAAATCTTACCTTGAGATTTTCTTCAGTCTAGGGAAAACCAATACAGTGGGCTGTTCTTATCCACAGGGGTTCACCCCCATTGATGAAAAAACCACGGGACCTCAAGTCCCACAGGTTTTCAGTGACGGTGCATGCAGCTGCGTACGCGCATGACCATTAGCAGCAATGGGGCTTGCCACCAGTGGATGCTTAAATCTGCGGATGGCAAGCCCACAGTTGGGGAGAGCAGACTGTATTTCATTTGTGATAATACCAAGTTATTGTATAGGTGGGCTGTAAGAATTACAGCAAG